TCTTCCTTGGCATGTTGTGAAATTTCTGATAGTTGGATAATAAACCGTTTTATTGTAATTTGTCTTTTTAAATTATTTTGAGTCGATATTAAAATTTGGAAAAAGGGGATCCCTAGATCGGTAAAATAGGCGAATTTCCTCCTACAACTTCGGTTGTTGTTCGGAATACAGTTAAGGTTTTAACAAAGTTTGAACGAATACATAATTAGCAAAAAAAAAAAAGTTGAAATAAAGTGATTAAACGAAAATTATTACAAATATCGTAAATAACAAATGCGTATATAGAGATATTTTTTGGAGGGGGAAATGGTCTTCACAATTTGAAATCGATCGAACACACTGTGCTTGTATACACGCGCGCCATCTATCGTAGGATAAATGTGCTTCGCGAGAGTGTATTAAAAAACTTTCCAGAGTTTCATGGCAATCGGATAAACGGTGTGGTAATGCATGAAGGACAGACACACATACATTCATTTTTATATATATAGATAAATGAAAAAATAAATAATAGTGTATATGTTGCAGTCAAAATCCATTTTTAGTTAGAACGCGTTTTAACAAGTTGAAACTAGTTTATACTTGATGTCTTTGATAAAAGCTTTTTAACTATTTTTATGCATATATTCTTTTTCATTTGATGTACAGAGCAACAGTAGAATTTATAGTAAATAAAATAAAATAGCATAAATAAATACAGTAAACAAGGCTAAGTATAACTACTACATGCTTTAAAGGTTTTTAATCTCCATGCTTTTTTCTATCATGTACTTCCATGCTGTTGGAAGCACATTAGCATCCTTGGCATTTAGGCAACGGTTTTTCATTTTACTTTTATTTCCATCTTTTTCATTTCTAATGCAATGAAAAGATATTGGACCATTAATGATTTTTGTCTCATCCCATTTTACATTTGCTCCTTCCGTCTGCGCCATGATTGCTAAAATGGTGTTGTCGTGCTCTTTATTAGCAATACATATGTGAGAACACAAATACAATGTTAAGTTTCTTCTGGTTACATCAACATAATCCTTTGCTACTCCTAATTGTTGATTTTCAAATGGTATTTTATAAACTCCAGCTTTCTCTTGCATTTTTACGCTGTCTTTATTGTTCCTTAGTAAGCTATAGATATTGGCTCTTATATACCATTCTTGCATTTTTATAAGTACTCAATTCATTAATCACTCCTCCTATATGCTTATTGTATGTGAATTTGTTAATTGCATCTACTTTAGTATCTTTTTTGCCTTTATGTTGTCTGTAACTTTTGACCAGGCCTTCAGTGTCTTTTGTAGCATAAATTTGTTGCAATTCTTTTAATTCTACTAATCTCCTTAAGATGATCCTGTATGTTGGTGCAATATAAAAACGCTTTTCTAATAAGTGCCTTAAATGCTGATAACTTGTATTTATTATATGGATTGTTGGACCAAGATAGTATATATAGGGGAGCATGTGTGGGTTTTAAAAATGGCCTATAGTAAGTAGGTTAAGAATGTTTGAGAAATAAAAAGAATTTATGCTTGGCAAAAAATTCAGATATGTTGATATAATTAATTGCAGTTGCTGAGAAAGAGGTTGAATTGAAAATTATTAAAAAAATGAACTTAGATCAAACTTCTAACTTAGAAGGTAATTTTTGTTTTTTAAATAAAACATACAAAATATTATTGTAAATTTTTATATTAAGATTTTAAAAAGCAAAGAATGTCAATACTACGATCACTCAATCTAGTTCTTATTTTAGTAATGAAAAGTCTTGATACCAAGAATGCCCTTTCCGATTCAATCGATGTGGGTGGAATAATCTTTAATGCATTTAAGAGAAGACAGATGTTATGTTTTTTCACCTGTAATCTGGAAGATTTCTAGTTTGTTTGAGATTGTAGTACTTCTTTTGCTGTCTAGTATTCTTGATTTGTCTACTTCGGATGCTTTAATAGAAACATCAAGTTTATAGCCCAATAATTTGGCAGTTTGTTTGTCTTTAATAATCAGGTTTATGAAGAAAAACTTCATACTTAGACTTTGTACTTGTTTGTATCCTTGCCTAATTTGCACAACCTGGCATTATGCAGTTATTGAAGCTACTGGGCATGGTTAAAAATTAAGAAGAATAAGCACAATTATTCCAGATATTACAGGTTCTGAAAAGTAAAGAATTTTCAGAGTCCTGCCACAAACAAGCTACATATTGATTAGTGACCATTTCTGATATGCCATGAGGAAAAGTTAAAAAAACTAAGTAGGCTTAAAATTAAATACAAATGTATTCTGACAATTTATGAGTTAATTATACTTTCTATTTGCAAAATTTCCTTAACCTTAACACAAAATAAGAAATAAGTGAATTTAAGAAATTTGTGGGATTTCCTGGGATAAGAAGAATTTCCCGGGTTAAAAAAACAACCGGAATCCTGTTTGAGAAACCCTAATACATACCATGCAAGGGTAAAAGCCTAAGCCTAGCTGGGAGCCATGGAGGGCCACAGGCACTAGTCATTCCCAGTTGGCACTGTGAATGACCAGGATAATTATTTTCTTCCAGAGCTATTAATTAATTTAGAAATATCAACTGGAGGTCCAAGTAGCATAACGGCATTGTATCTGTAAGGTAAGCAGGAGTTGTAGGTTCATATCCCACTCTTTTCTTTCAAAATATTCTAAATTTAAATTAAAAAGTTATTTCTAATTATTAAATTTATTGTGAGATTGTCTAGTGGGTGTTTAGGCTAACAGTCTTATATCTATTTATTAAATTAGCCTTAATATAGTCTAATAAGTAAGCCAGTAAATCTTTTTACAACAGTAATTATTAATCTTAAACTCTTAAAACACAGAATGATAGCATAAATGACTAAAGAAATTTGATCTAAAAGCAGTCAAAAGTTAACTTATGTATGTATATATATATATATATATACAGTGGTACCTCAGGTTACGAAATTTTCAGGATACGACATGAAATTCGAACATATTTTTGCTCCACGATACGAACAAAAACTCACCATATGACGTTACATTAGTTCGCATTTTTCATTTGTTTTTCTTACTACAGTTATTTTTTTTAATGTATTATTTGGCTTTAATTTGAGTATGTTTTTCGCGTTGGAACGAATTATTTGGTTTTACATGTAATCGTATGGGAAAAGATGATCCACCTTACGACATTTTCATGATACAATCTCAGTTTCGGAATGGATTAATTTCGTATCCTGAGGTACCACTGTATATAAATTATTTGAATATTTTCAGGATAATTGGTTATATGTAAATAACTGTTTTAAGTATAATAACCCAAAGATAAGTCAAAGATTTTAAATTTGAGATTTAACTAACAAAATTATTAAAGCCAAATGATTGCCATGGCTATATTACCACTACTATTAATAATTACTCAGTATCTAATTATTAATAACAGCAGTAATATAACCTAATTTAATCCAGCAATTGTTTGGCTTTAATATAACTATCAGATTTAGAGATGTTTACAAATGAAATTATTATTCAAAGCAAAATTTATTTTAAAAATAAAACAACAAAATGTACTTATTTGTGAAAAAAATAAAGATTAAATTTTTCAAAAATTAACAAAGTAGATAAATAAGAAAAAAATGCAATAATTATGTGATAACATTTTCTATCCAAGTTTCACTTCAATAAAATATAGCTGTATATATGCATATATTCAGCTTTATTCTCTACATATATTTCTTTGCATACATACCATATTTCCTCCAATAAATGTTTATTTGCTAAATGAAAGCTCAAGCCCAGCATTTATTAGAAATCAACAGCAATTTGATACTGGCATTTATTTGGTAATATCTGGTATGACAACTGCAAAGTACACACACAATATGTTCTTTTATTATTATTATTATTATTTATTAATATCAGTAACATAACACTATCCCAAATAACAGAACTTAGTAATTTCTTGGAGTAAAGTAACCTTAAAATGTTACTGATGTAGAATGAAGCTTAAGAGGAAATGGGCACAAAATGAGAATCCCTAACTGATGCTTATTAGACATCAGTTTTTTTTTTGGCAGTTTTTTACTCAGACCCTGGCACTTACAGGAAACATGCAGTATTAGAGATTTGATGTTTACTGGAAGAAACAGAGTATGTGTATCTGTGTATGTATTTATTAAGGCATTGTTTTGAGATCTGTATAAATAATAAAAACTCAATTATTTTACAGGCAAAATTTTTATTTCTACACAATAAATTATTAATTTCTGAAATTTATTGTTAGTAAAACAGTTTATAATGTATTTTATATATTTATTATAGAATATTAAGAAAAAGTTAAAAGATTATACCCAGAAGATTGTTGTTTGATAACTGGTATGACAGGAAGCTGAAAACCATTTATAATAGCTACTTCAGTGAGTTCTGTTTCCTTTGGAATATAACAAATATTAATTTCAGTATAGAGAATTTTAGGATATTTTTATCATAAGCTTACAAATTTTAAAAATTACATTATTGAAAAATTAATTAGACAAAAAGAAAAAGAATAAATAAATATATTAATATAATACAGCATTAGTATGAAAAAGGAAAAAAATTAATGAATTAGAAGTGTTATGATTCAGTAAAATCCTATTTTTTGAATTTAAAACAAATTGTGTATGTGTGGGTTTTATGTTTTTGTAATGTGTTATAAAAGCCCAAGATTTATTCAAAAATGTAAATCTGATGGGATTTGGAAAAATATATTCAAAAAGGATTTCAATCAAAGAGTTTGGAAGAACTGCACTTTGGAGAACATTCCTTTTTAGAATGAGTGTGGAGACTCACTTTCCAAGTGTTTTTTGGTCCAGTGTAGTTTAAATATATATCTATATACTATTCAATATGTTTGTTTGTGAGAAATTATATATTAATTGATACAATAAACTGTTATTTAGTTGTTTTTTTATACAATAACTTGTATAAATTTGAAAAGAACCTGTTGGTGTTCTTCAGAACCTGGAAGACAGAGTTAACTGAAAGAGCAAGCAACTTGTACTTGACTACAAGTGAAAATAACTGTTTTTCTTTCAGTTCTTATTGATTTTGGATAATAAATTGATGATATAATTATTATTTTTACATTTATCATAATAAACTAATAACTAAGTAATCAAAAAAATAATCAAAACTTTTCTATTTATACAATTAATAATCTTCATAAATTAGAAAATATTATAAATTATCAGAATCAGAAAAAGTTTATTGTCTAATGGGAATTACTTCCCTATTACAAGGGGTTGTAGTTTCATGTGTCCATATTTATCTTTACTAAAACAATATTTTTCCATTAATTGTTTAATTTGCACTTATTACTCGCGTACATATTCACATATTCTTTAATTTAATTTATTTTGTTATTAAAGTTTCTATTATTTTACAAAAATAATTATAAATATTATATAATTCTTTTTTACTCATATTGTTAAAATTTTTTAACAATTCTATTAGCGAGTTGCATTTATAAGTGCTATTTATATCATAATGTTCACGAAGTTCCTTTAACTTTGGACATGTTAATATCAAATGGTAAGGTGT